GATACTTAACAACAACATAGGTGAACCTGGTGGGGCACTGTAGGATAAGCATTGGATTACTAATGGTAAGGTTGGCAGTTCAAACCCACCAGTTCCTTCTTGGAAATCCTTTACAGGGTCATATGAGTTGGAATCGGCTATTAACAACAAAATAAGGTGAGCAATAGTACCAGGGAGGTACTTGATTTACTCCTTAGAACAATCAATCATTTAAGATCTAAAGGACAGCATTTGTTGTTGTTTTTATGTGCCGTGGAGTTGGTTCCGACTCATAGTGACCCTGTACAGAGTTTCCGAGGCTGTAAATCTTTACAGGAGCAGAACGCCTCATCTTTCTCGCGCGGAACAGCTGGTAGTTTCGAACTGCTGACCTTGCGGTTCGCAGTCCGATTTGTAACCACTATGCTACCAGGACAGCATTTGCCCAGGGATAAAGGAGTCCTTTATGTAATTACTGTCTCTACACCAGCATTGGGAGTTCTGGTGTGGTGCTGTAGGGTAAGCACTGGACTGCTAAACACAAAGTTGGTGGTTCAAACCTACCAGCTACTCCTTGGAAACCTCATACAGGATCACTATGAGTTGGAACCACTCGAAGGCACTTAACAACAGCAGTTTCAATGGTTCCATACTGGACTGATCCCTGGGTTGAGCTCACCAGCTTTCTCCAAGGGAGAAGGATGAGGCTTTCTGCTCTCACAAAGACTTAAAAGTTCTCCGTAACCCTATACAACTTGAAGGCACTGAACAACAAGAAGAAAAAAGGAGTCCTGGTGTGGCACTGTAGGATAATCAGGAGACAGCTTAACCACAAGTTTGGGGTTTCAAACCTACCAGCTGCTAGTTGGAAACTATGAGTTGGAACAGACTAGAGTACAGCCCTTAACAACAACAAAGCTCCAAAGGCCTGAAGGAGGGCTGGGTCAGAAGGACTAATGGAAATGGTGAACACAGGGAGGAAGTGACAAGAGTGCTATGACATAGTAGCGACTGTGATCTATGTCACAAAACAGAACCTGTATGAATTGGTGAAAACCAATTTGATCTATAAACTATCACCCAAACCACATTAAAAAGTAAAGAAAAAAATACTTTTTTATTTAAAAGCATAAAAGTGACCAGTAAAGTAATTTAAACTGTGCTAAATTTTTTTACCTTTGAATCAAATTGGTCATTCAATTAGACTCTGTCTATGTTATTGTTGTTGTTAAGTGCCGTAGAGTCGGTTCTGACCCACAGCGACCCTGAACAGGGTCTCCGAGGCTGTAAATCTTTACGGGAGCAGAAAGCCTCATCTTTCTTCCGTAGAGCAGCTGGTAGTTTCGAACTACTGACCTTGAGGTTTGCAGCCCAATTCGTAACCACTACGCTACCAGAGCTCCTTAGACTTTGTCTATAGTTGAGTTAAAAAAAAAAAGATGGCATATTACTAAGTTGTAGTGAATAATTGGAAGTTACTTCTGGAGATTGGAATGGAGTGGGCAGGGGAAAAGATTTTTAATTTTATCCGTTTTTTTTCAAAGCAGGTACATGCTTGAGGGGGCTTCAAAAAGTGAAATTTGCCCATGGAACTTTTTTTTTTTAAGTTTTTGTGAATAATGTGATAGTTTACATGGGACAACATTAGCTTTACATTCATCCTATCATATAACGTTTCATTGCCATGGTTACAATCCCCTCCATGCATCATCAACCAACCAAGCCTGCCCCCCAGTTGTCAGCACACAGCCCCTCTTCCTCTCTGGACCTAAAGTCCCCAGCGGCTCCATCTCTCCACGTCATCATCTCTGCCTCCATCTCTGGTGTCACTGCTTCTCTGGGTAGGGTCCCGCTCTCTGCTCGTCTCCCTTGATGGTCCCAGGGACCTTTGCTCCTAGACTGCAAAATCAACCACTCCCCTCCTTTTGCTACAAAACTTCTACCTTTACATTTCCAACCCTCACAGTCAGTCCTGATAGCAATTATTCATTATTGTACTTACAAGAGTCCTGTCCCCATCTCCTTTCATCAGCCTAGTCCAGACAGATTAGATACCACTCAGTGGAGATACCTTCCCTGCACCCTCTGGATCTAGGCTCCCTCTTGAAAGCTTGTAAGCCAGTCACTTCTTGCCTTTGTAGCCCCCCATTTTGGGTAGCCAATGTCTAAGTTGCCCATCCCTGTCTACCCTGTGTACCTAGGGGGTGGGAATGATCCTCGCCCGTAAAGATTTGTTCCCTCTTTTGAGCTACTGAATCCATAGGTATAGGTCAAGTTCATCAAATTGTATTAGATTACTCTTTTTTTCCCCCTCTTCTTTCTTCTTCTAGTGGAGTTCTGTCATCCAGCCATTGAAACCAGGTCAAGTGGGTATTATCTGCAAGTGTGGGTGTTCTTGTGCACCTCCCTCACGTCTTACCAGCTGGACACTTAACTCTCCACTCTAGTCCTCTGTGGCTATGTCACTGTCTCTGGGTCCAGGAGTCCCCAGGTCTTGTTATACTGCTGGCCAACCAGGTCTCCACCTGGGTTCACAGGAGTCTATTGAACAAGGTCGGACTTAGCTCACAACTTCATTGTTTTTCCCTCACTTCCCCTTATCAGTGACCAACGTGGTCACCAGTCAGACTACAAGCCTGCCAGTGTATTCCCCCTGAGTCTTTGTCTTGGAAGGGGGTTTGCCCTGAGGGGACCCCACCACTTGCCTTGATGTCTATCTTCTGTTCTTCTAGCCACTCCAGGCTGGTCTGCTTGTCCTTTTAAGTGGAGATTTCCTGCCTCAGAAGACTCTGGATGTTGTTCAGGATTCCACCTATGGTCTTATGCAATGCAAAGGCTCTGCAGGAAGCCTCCTTCACTGGGCAAGTTGTAGCTCCATTTTAGGTATTCCAATCAGTTATAGGCTGAAGACGGACTTATGTACTTTCTATGGTGATGTTTCTGGCTATTCCTTTCTCTCCCTGTCAAGTGTCTATTTTACAATGGTATGCAAGGGAAACCCACAGAACTTTTTGAAGTTCCTTCATATTATTTTATAATTTAACTATGAATAGACATGTCTAAGATTACAAAAAAAAAAAAAAAAACCCCAACAGATTTACAGTCTTGGAAACCCCATGAGGCAGTTCTACTCAGTCCTTTGTTGTTGTTGTTAACTGCAAATGGCTTTGCACTCCAGTGTATCACCCACAGCGCCACACCAGGACTCCACTCAGTCCTTTATGGTCATTGAATTGGAACCAACAGCAATGGGCTTGATTTGGTACATGGTACGTACATGCTGGTACAAGATGGCCAAACTTCGTCTCTCATATTTCAGACATATTGTCAGAAGGGACCAGTCACTGGAGAAGGATATCATGTTTGGTAAGATGGAGGGTCAGAGAAAAAGAGGAAGACCCCCAACAAGATGGACTGGCCAAGTGGTAGCATTGATGGACTCAAGCGTGGCAACAGTAATGAGGTTGGCCCAGGATCGGGCAGTGTTTCATTCTGCTGTGCATAAGGTCGCTATGGGTCGGTACCAACTCAATGGCACCTAACAACAACACATATCTGGAGTCCTGGAGTGGAGCTGTGGGCTAATGCACCAGACTGCAAAGCCATTTGAACTGCAAGATGGGTGGTTTAGGGTCACCAGCTGCTCCTCAGCAACCCTATAAAGGCTCGCTATGGGTCGGAATCAACTAGAGTACACTTAACAGCATAAATATCTGGCATCCTGGTGTGGCTCTGTGGGATAATGCATTAGACTGCAAAGTTGTTTGAACTGCAAGGTTGGTGGTTCAAGCTCACCAGTTGCTCCTTGGAAACCCTACACATGGTCACTATGGGTCAGAATCCACTCAGTGGTACTTAACAACAGCACGTTAATATCTGAATTATCCTTTTAACTTTTAATGTCTTACAATAATAAATTACAAAGGTCAGCACCCTGTTTTCCAAAACTCAAAAGCACATTGATCTAGACAATGCTACACAATCTATTTGATATTGAATGTTAAAGGAAGGTATAATCCTAGGAAGCTATCTTTCGGGGATGGTGAAGAATTTATTAATGCAAGAATTAACAAAGTGACAGAAACAATCATCTGGTTTAGCTAAATTATTAGTGTATTGGTCAAGTTAAAGTTAACCTAACTAGTTGCCTCATTAAGTCTATCGTGCTGTGGTTAAACCCTACCCTTTTCCCAACAATTTCAATCTTCTGAAGTTTAAGAATCTGTCACGTACTATACAACCAACACTGTACACTACTACAGACTGGGATACAATTGGGAGCATATACTGACTGAAGACGCACGGAGACTCTTAACCACAAGGTAAGGGTTGGATCCCAATAGGCTCTCCACAAATAAAGATGAAGCTTTCTGCTCCCGCAAAGATTTAAAGCCTCCGAAACCCTGTACCAGATCGGAGTCAGAACGGACTCGACGGCACTTAACAACGAAGACTTTTAAAAAAAAATGTGCGTCATTCTCATTTAAAGGACCAACTAACATGTTGTCTGTCTGATGTGATGCTGAGGACACAATATCACACATGTAGTCTTTCTGCCATAGTACACAACCTGAATCTAATTATCTAACCACATCGAGGAACTTTTTCTACAACGGACCCGTACTGTACAAAAATGTCAGAAAAGACAGTCTAAGAAACGGTTCCAAATTAAAAGATACAAGAAAGGCATGATAACTAATGACTAATCTCAGACGCAAAACACTCATTTCTCCTCTTCTATAAAGCAACTGGAATTTCAGAAAAACAGCGCAGGATAAGTCACGAGTTTGCGATATAAAAGGACACCGGAGCCGGGCAGCCTGCGCAGACGCTCTGTGAAGAAAGAGCCATATTGGGCGGGGCGAAGGCGGGACTTCCTGGACCAGCCTCTCTTCCCACTGGCTGAGAAGGAGCTTGAGGGGTGGACTGCACTGTCACTTGGCAGGAACCGGAAGCCAGAGGAAAGGAAGCAAAAGAAGCTGAAACCTACTCTTGATTTTGTCTTCCTTTCCTTCCACTGTACCCTTCAAACCGAAACTCGAGCCTGTAGCTCACAGATTCTCAGCTTTCGCCATGGCCCTCAGCGATGCTGACGTGCAAAAGCAGGTGAGAGAATGGTGTTGAGTCCCGCGAAGCTGCGGTGCAGGTCCCAGAGTGGTGGGCTGGAGCCCGGGCTCATGGAGGGCGGGGGCCTTGGGCAGCCCAAGGAGGGTTCTTTTCCCACGTCCTCGGTTCTGTCTGCGGGAGGGGCACTTGCTGACCCACCCAGCTCCTGTGACTTCTGCTCCGATCTTGCGCACTTGCCTGAGGCCCGCCGCCGCCTTGAGCTACCAATCCCTATTTTCTTGGAATGATTGCTATGCTTGATAGAGCGGAGAGATTTTGCAGAGATTGAAAACATCATTTTCACTTGAATTTTAACCCTGAGGGAAGGGATCACGGTATATGAAAGGAAGGAAACAGTGCTAAGGGAAAAGAACTACCTACAACGTTGTTTTGAGGTCATTCACTTTATGAACTGTTAATCTTCATTGTGGAGGAGTCTTCTTCAGTTATACTGAATTGTAATGGTTTGTCTCCCCCTAATCTTTATATTAATATTTGTTTCATGTTGGTAGTCCTCTTTTTCTTACATTTGTGAACCACAGTGCCTAAAAGTTTTTGGCACAAAATAAATTAGTAGTGTTTTATGGGAAGAATTAATTGCTAATGAAAGTCGCAAACCTACTTCAACGTTGCAAGTGTATATATATTCAGTTGTGGGAAACGTGTTTAGTTTTTTTTTTTTTTTTTAATACCTTCAAGACTGTGAGCATTAGGAATATTGAAATGCAAAACTCTTCCAGGAGGATATAGCAGCTTTGGTAGTTGTATAACTAACACGATAGAAAGGATTTGACTTGTCAATAGATATCCCGAAGCCAGGGTCCTTGCATTTAGCAGTGGTAATACCTATAGGTTTTTCAGAGGAGGAAGCCTGCTACTTAATTTCTCTATAATTTAGAGAACTAAACATACTTCTTTTTGAAGTACTAGGAAAATTCTGACTAAAGTACACTGGCTTATGAATCTTCTTAGATGAGCAATGAGATAAATAGCTTTTTTTCCCTTGTATATTTTCCATTGCCTTGAAAATGGCTTTTCATTTTATTTTTAACCTAATATGGACTAAAAAGAGTGAAATAGTTGTTCATTTCAATGATTATAGATGAATCTAGTTTTAATCACAAAGGGGAAGAGGGATATCAAAAATAGCACCTACAGAGAAGTTTAAGAAATCTTCCAATATTGTTACAAAACAGTGGATTTTTGTTTTACATTTGTCATCACTGCTTCTGGTTTTTAATAGGGGAAAATGTTATTCAATGGAAAGGAACAGGGACCTTTGCTTATTGGAGTGGTCATACTTTTAATATTGATTCTCATCTTCCTTTTGCAACTTCATCTTCCCCCTTGTTATAATGTACTGAAGACTGACTTCCTCAGGAGCCTTGGGGGCACAATGGTTAAGACTCTGCCTCTGTTAGTTTGACAGTTCCAATCCACCAAGTGGCTGCACAGGAAGGAGATCTGGGGATAGAAAGAATGAACTGCTATGGTTCTCCTATAGTGATTACAGCCAAGAAAGCCCTGTGGGGCAGACCTACTCTGTCAAACACGGTTGCAATGAGTCAAAATTAACTTTACGGTATACAAGTCTTCCCTAGAAAAATATAGTATAAAGGCAAAGCAATGTATTTCTGCAATTAAGGTCAAATTAATTTTTCATTCTGTACAATTAAAATAAAGGAATTTTGGTAGCCTAGGGGGCTATGAGTTGGACTGCTAATTGGATGGTTAGTAGTTTGAATCTACCAGTCACTCCATGGGAGAAAAATGAGGCTTTCTACTTCCGTAAAGAATTACAGCCTTCGAAACTCTACGGTGGTGGTTATGTGTCGAGGAATAGTGACCCTGTATAGGCGTCCCGGTGTGGTGCTGTGGGTTAATGCACCAGACTGCAAAGCTGTTTCAACTGTAAGGTCGGCGGTTCAAGCTCACCAGCTGCTCCTTGGAAACCCTATACAGGGTCGCTATGGGTCAGAACTGACTCAACGACACTTAACAAATAGGGGTTCGAAAGCTATAAATCTTTATAGGATCAGAAAGTCTTATCTTTCTCCCGTGCAACTGCTGGTAATTTCAAACTGCTGACCTTGAGATTAGCAGCCCAACTTGTAACCAAAGCACTACCAGATCGCCTTTGGAAACTCTATACAGGGTTACTATGAGTCAGAACCGACTCGATGGCATACAGCCACCACCAACAAAATTAAAAGAATGAAGAAATCTTATGTATTGTCTGTAACCTTCGACGCTAGAATGTAAACTCCATGAAGGTAGTGAATTTCCAGTACTGAATAAGCCAACTAGACACCAAGCATATGTTGTTATCAAGTGTTCTTGAGTCGGTTCCCACACATAGCAACCCTGTATAGGGTTTCCTAGGAGCAGCTGGTGGACTTGAACCACTGACCTTTATCCTACAGTACCACATACTAGCCACTTAACAAATTATAGATTCGCTGACATCTTCTTCATTGCCTTTTTAAAATAAATGTTTTATTGTGAATTGTGTGATAGTCTACATGGGAGAACATTAGTTTTACATTCATTCTATCATCCCGCCCATGCATACTCACCCAACCAATGGGTGTACCCTATAAGCCTGCACCCCCAACCACAGTCCTCAGCCCTTTCCATCTCCTGATCCCAAGTCCCCAGCCACACCATCTCTTGCTGTCATTTTCTCTGCCTCCATCTCAGGCCTCACTGCTTCTCTGGGTAGGATTCCGCTCTCCGCTTTTCTCCATTGATGGTCCTAGGGCCCTCTGCTCCTAGATTGAAAAGTTAATCACTCCCGTCCTTGCTATAAAATCCCCACCTTTAGATTTCCAACCCTCACAATCAGTCCTAATAACAATTATTCACCATTGCATCACAAGAGACCCATCTGTATTTCGTTTCATCAGCCCTTCCTGGACAGGCTGGATACTATTCACTGGCGACTCTACCTTCCTCCACGCCCTTTGGATCTAGGTTCCGTCTTGAAAGCTTGCAAGCCAGTCACTAATTACCTTTGTATCCCTCCCCTCATTTTGGGTAGCCAATGTCCAAATTGCTCATCCCTGTCTACCCTTTGTGTGGAGGGTTGGAAATAGTTCTTGCAGCAGGGATTTGTTTCCCTCTTTTGAGCTACTGTGTTTATAGGTGTAGGTCATGTTTATCAAATTGTATCAGATGACTTTTTTTCCTCTTCTTTCTTCTTCAGGTTGAGCTCTGTTTATCTAGTCATTGAAGCCAGGTCAAGTGGGTATCATCTGCAAGTGTGGGTGTTCTTGCGTCTGTCTGCCCTCTTTTTATCAGCTGGCCGCCCCACTCCACTCTAGTCCGCTGTGTCATTGACTCTGAGCCCATGAGTTCCCAGGTGTTGCCTCGCTACTGGCCAACCAAGTCTCCACCCGGGTTCACAGTAGTTTGCTGAATGATGTAGGGCTTAGCTCGCCACTTCATTGAGGTTCTTAGGTTACTTCCCCTTCTGGGTAACGTGCTTCTTCATTGCATTTGATACTTTGTGTGTTTCTTTTTCTTTTGGGCTGTATGGTCATCTATTTAGAAGGAACTCAACCTTTCATAAAGTGTAATTACTGAGTTAGCAGGGAGAAGAAAAATATAATTTTAAAGATTGATTTTCTTGTATTAGGGGTAGCGCTAAATGTCCTTAAGGAGTTGCTATTTCATTTCTTAGAACTCTGAAAAGACAGAGTATGTTATGTTGACTATAAATAGTTAGACTTCTCTGACTTGGGTTTAAATCAGTGTGTTTTGCTCTTAAGCTATGCTGATCTAGTTAGATCTGGTAGGAGAGGGTCCAGCAGCAGCAATCAAGGCAGATAATGCAGGTTTGAAACAGTTCACCTTTACAGGCCAAAGGGTTTTGTAGCATTTATAAACACCTGCTTTGATTACTGTATTTAGTTAGCTAAGGTACTTTTTAAATTCCTGACTGGATCAAAACTCAGTGGACGCTAAACCTGCTGCCCTACAAATCTGGTAATCTTTTCAGCAAGGCCACAATAATTTTCCATAAATATTGTTCTGGACTAGTCCCCCCCCAAATATTTCTAGGCTTGTATTGTATTATCTATAAAATAGGCTTTTTTTTT